CAGCTGACTCCAGTTCCAGGGAGCTCAGTGTCTCTTCTGGCATCTGGGGCACTGGGAATGCGCACAGTGCCCACACATCCACGCAGGCTGTTCTGCTTTGCTTTCTATTGCCACAATAAAACACCATCACCAAAAGCAAGTTGGGGAAGAAAGAGTTTATTTGGCTTACACGACCCAGTCATAGTCTATCACTGAGGGAAGTCAGGCAGGAAACTAGGGGCAGGAACTGAAGCAGACACCATGAAGGCCATGCTTACTGGCTTACACCTCAGACTCACATTTTGCTACATTTTTAAACACCTTCGGAGACTACTTGCTGAGGGGTGGGGTTGCCCATAGTAGGCTAAACATTCCCACATTAATCGTTAGTTAAGAAAATGTTCCACAAACTTGCCTACAGGCAACCTGATGGAGGCATTTTCTCAGCTGAGGGTCCCTCTTTTCAGACATGTTTTGTGTCAAGTTGACAAAAAAAAAAAAAACAGGCAAATGTTTTATACATATAAAACAAAAATAACAAAATTTAAAAAAAAAACATTAACAATGGGCAAAAATACTGGATGGGCATTTCTCTAAAAATGATGGATAAATGTCCAGAAAGCACACAGCAAGTGCTCAACATCACTAACCTTTGAGGAAATGTAATAAACATTGTTGTGCCGAGATCGTGGAAACCCCAAAAGACCACCACGGAGCTGATTCCAGTGTTTTATTAAAGCTCGAGCAGGAGCTCACAATCATCACCTACGCAGCAGATCAGGATTGAGGGCGCAGAGCTCCAAATCAGCAGGGTTTTTACAGCGAGGTTTGGGGAATTTCAGCTTGGCAGTTCCATGATTGACTGACACTTAGCAAACACTGGGTGTTGAAACCCAACTGATTGTGTCCTTCGGGCCAGATCGTAATTGTTTCAGTAAACTTATTGTAAACACCTGGGTAAACTCCAGGTAGTCACTGATTAGCCGTTGCTAGGGGTGACGGTTAAATATTACCAGAGGTGAGTGGTCAACGCACATTATTTTTTTTTTGTGTGTGTGTGTGTGGGTTTTTCTCCTTTTTTGAAACTGGAGTTCATGCCCAGGGCATTTACCCTTACGACCGAGTTTATTTTTCAGAAATGGGGTTACACAGGCCTCACAACACCACCGTGAGACTCTCTGCATATTCACTAATTAGGGTGGCTTTTCTCCAAAGAAACAGAAAATACATGTTGGTGGGAAAGTGGTAACCTGGAAACCCTGTGCGCCGCTGGTCTAGACGCGAAATGATACAGCTGCAGGGAGAAGCAGAGGGGACGCAGGAATAGCTTGGCTGCGTGTTCAAAGGCATTATCCGTAAGAGATGCTTGTGCACCCATGCTTATTGCAGCTTGCTCCCATGGGCTGAAGGGTGGCAGCAGCTGGAGTGCTACTTATTAGTGAAGAGCTTAAGATGGCCTGAATATAACTCCATTTTGAAATAAGGATCTTGACTGGGAGCTGAATTCAGGTACCAGGAAATATCACAGAGTGTACACCTGGCAGAAAACAAACTTAACTCTCCTAGCAACAGCCTCCAGGAAACATCACAGAATAAATGCTTCACAGAAATTAGAGACAAACTCCCTGGCAATAATCAACAGGAATCAGTTGAGAATCGGGTGGGAAAATTATCCCCAATGTTTTAGATATGGTTTAGAAAAATAGCCATTGTGATTGTTTGCCTCAGAAAAGGTCACCCCGCCCTGCTAAATTTCGCCCAATTCTGTGCCCAAGACTTGTGCCCCACTGCTTGCTGCCATGAAAACCCCCTGATTACAGACTTTCCCTTTAAAAATCCTGTTCACTCAGAGCTCGGGGTCCCACTTCTCTAGTGCTGCGTCAGTGAGACTTGGGTCCCGAGTTCGATCGCTCTCATAATAAAGCTCTCTCGAAATTGCATCGAGTCATCTCCTGGTGGTCTCTGAGGGTCCCATGAACCTGGCATTACATTAGCAGCCTAGTTGACTGTGATGCATCAGTTAAGCTGATGCAATGTAGAACCATTGGCAAGATAGGCCCCCAGCACGCTTGTGTTGGATTGTCTTGATTACATCAGTAGACACGGGAAGATCTGACCATTTTGAGGGCGGTGCCACTCTCTCAGCTGGAAACTCCAGACTGTGTAAGATGAGGGAAAGCACCAGGTGGTAGGGGTGCACACCTTTGACCCCAGCACTCGGGAGGCAGAGGCAGGTAGATCCCTGAGTTCAAGACCAGCCTGGTCTTGATCAGGTTCCAGGATAGACAGAGCTACACAGAGAAAACAACAACAACAAAAGATGGGAGGAAGCAAGCTAGGTGCTGCCATGCTTGCATTCGTTGCTCTGCTTCCGGATTGATGTTAAAGGACCCTCCAGTGGTCTCAAGCTCCTGGCCCTGTAACCTGCCCCACCCTGACAGCCAGGAACCTGAAACTAGAAATAAACCTTCTCAGCCAAAGTCACTTCTGGCAGAGTACTTCATTACAGTGACAGGAAAAGAAACTAAAACATCAAGCAAATGTAATTTATACAAGCAGTGAAATATTGGTCCATCTTTAAAAGGAATGAAATTCTGATTTGTGCTGCAACCTGCATAGACCTTAAGGTCATTATGCCACATGACATAAACAAGTCACAAAAAGAAAAATTTCACTTTATATGTGACATCTAGGAGAGTCAAACTTGTAGGTATAAGAAGAGTACTCCAGTGGGCTAGGGGCTAGGGAGAGGGGAAGGATGAATTACTGTGTAATGTGTACAGAATATCAGTTTTGTAGGATGAAATGGTTTTACAGATCTGTTGCAAGTAACACTTTTATGATTCTTAGCATATTTTTGGCAATTATTTGCTTGATCAATGTTATTGTCTCATTTGCTCTCACTCTAGAGTGACATGAACTGTCATCCATTTCTCAAGACCTAGCCTAAGGAACTACACTGCAGGGAAAAGTAACAAGAAAGATAAGAAATGAACTTCCTGTGGACCAGCTGTATATGTGATTGGCATCTAATAATGCATGTGACACCCCCCCATGCAGGCATGCACACACATGCATACAGACATACACACACACATACACACACGCGCAAGGAGAGGCAGACAAAGTGACAAATCAGAGAAAAATGTGACAAAATAGGATATGCCCAACTCTCAGGAGAACAGAGAGGAAAGAGAGGCAACTTAAAGAGCAGAGCGAGAGAGGGAGGAGGCCGTTTTACCAGGAGGGTTTTACAGAGACAGATTGTAGAGAGAACAAGCTAGACACGGGTGAAAACAGATGAGCCAGAGAATGAGAAAGAGCCAGAAGACTAGAACAGATTGCTAGAATTAGTATGAGGTCAAGAAGAGCAAAAAGTCAGAAGCTGAGAGAAGCCATATTGAGTCAGTCAGCTTGGAGCGAAGTTTGAGCCAGAATAGCTGAGTTGAACCAGCCAGCCAGAAAAAGAACAAGAAAGGGTGAGCTTGTTTTGTTTTGATGTTTGTTTGTTTTTGTTTTTCAAGATAAGGTTTCTCTGTGTAGACGTGGTTGTTCTGGACTCTCTTTGTAGACCAGGCTGGCCTCAAATTCACAGCAACCCACCTTCCTCTGCTTTCTGAGTGCTGGGATCAAAGGCGTGTACCACCATACCCAGCTCTAGAAAGGGTGAGCTTGTTAAGCAATAAGTCTCAGAGACTGAAACCATTCTAGGCCTAGATTAGACCGTATAGAGGCTAGAAGCTTCCAGGACTAGGCCTACGTTAGCAGACAGAGGCTGCAAGCCTCGGAGGCAACAGTGGAACAGGAGACCAAACCTTATTTATCCTTGTGACCACTGAATCTGGCACAAAAGCACTTGTTTAGTTCATGCCAAACAAATATCTGAATGATGAGAGTGAGTGAGAGCAGGGGAGTCCTTCGCAACAGTCTCAAGGAAGGCCTTAGGGCAGTTGCCACCCAGACAGAAAAGACAGTCTGAAGCAGATGGCCATAGGGCTCACGAGTGTCTGATGGGAGCCAGAGTTGGCAGAGAGGAAGAAAGAGTGGCTCCCAGTTTGCGAGGCAGATGATACTCTAGGGTGTCATGTTCCATCGTCTTGCTGGTTGCTGTGCAGTTTGACACTTATCCGGTCCCAGACAAATTTCCTCTCATTTTACAGTGTCAGCCCAGCAGAAGCACCAGGAGCCAGGACTCCACTAGCCTCAGATCTGGCCTTATTTTAAATGAGACACTGTTTTATCTGGCTAATGGAACCAGATCTGCTCTCTGTAAGAGCCTGGTGTATATTCCTTTGAGGTGTTCAGTCCCTAGTGATCTTTCCCCTTGGACTCTCGACAATGAGTAATCAAAACATCATCTTTAAAACAAAACAAAATGACACCCCTTGAACCTCAGTCGGAATTTGAAAGCTGGAAGGAAGAATAGTCCTCTTTCCCTGATTAGGAAATTTATGCGGAGATGGGTTAGAAAACAAACAACAATCAAACCAAGCCAAGTCAAAGGCCACCAGGTTGAAAGTGGAACACAGAGCTCCCCTTTTCATCGGTCTGCCTCGGGTAGCACTGTCTGGGGCATCCTCTTTGCTTCTCCCGGCATGCCACCCTCCGGGCAGCTAGCGTTGGAGCGGAGAAACAGGTGGGGTTTTCCTAGGTAAGTTTTCCTTGTGCTTTGTGATCTTTCTAAAGCCTGGCTCAGCAAGGGGCTACATTAAGGTTTTGTTCTGTCTGGCAGGGGGAGAAAGCCTTGTCATGGGAATTCACCATCGAAAGAACTGCGGTGTTGCGTGCTAGCCAGCCCCTAATCATCTCTGTATCTCCAAAAAGTATTTACTGGGGGCTTACAGCAGCCACGGCCACCTAATTAGAGCAAAATCGCTGCCCACCCTTTCCACTGGTCCAAGGAATTTTACATCCAGGCACAAGGATTTAAGAGTCTGTTGGTGGATCTGGCCTTAGCTCTGAGTACAAATTAAAGCTAGAATTATCCCACAGAGGTGGCTTGTGGTTTCCGAAAAAGGGGTATGGAGTTCCCAATAAGATATTATCTGGAACTAGTGTTTGGGGGATCTGGAGAAAAAGATGCATACCACGACAGGAGTGCTATGAGATATCCCACAAGCTACCTGGCCCCAGAACCTCATTCCGTGTACCACCGGGCCACGGCTCCAATTCCAGCTCCTGGGTTGGTCTCGGAGGTTGTGCAGGAAGGCCAAAGGCTGCCTTTCTCTTTAAGACTCCTCAGGCAGAACTGATAGGCCGCTGATGTGTAAGTCTTCCTTCCAGAGTTCTCCTTTCTTCCGTGTCCCCTTCCTACTCTCCCTTCCCCTGCCCGCCTCTCCCGTCACTCTTCTGGGGCCTCCTCCCTCCCCTGCCTCTTGACACCTCCTCCTTACAGCTGAATGACAGACCAGCAACAGAGGTCAAACACCAAAAGGAGAGGAGAGGAGAGGGCAGAGACACCAAGTGTGGTACATCCGCTTAGAGGCAGGAGCGTACATCACTCTCCAGCCAAGTCAGCCCCGGCGCCCACCCCGCCAAGGTCCCCTTCTGCAACGCCAAGGAGGAAATCCGTGCAGGGCTCCAGGCACCAGCAGGGTGCGCTCGGGCCGCGCCTCAGCGTTGTCCGCAGGAACGTGTTCCTGATGAGCCTCCTGCGTCTAGGGGCTGTATACTCTCCAGTGCTCGTCCCTAAGGCCAAACTGCTCACTCTGCTTTTGCTATGGGGTAAGTCCTGCTGGCGGCCGCTGCACCCCGGGCACAGTGCAGGGGCTGGATGGGTCACCGGTCACCGCTGGGCATAGCGCCCCGCTGTCCCCCGAGCACTGATCCCAAAGTGTGCAGTTCGCCATCCTTTGGGATGGGCAGGTATATCTGCCCAGAGAGTTTGCAATTTCTGCTCACCCTCCTCTCTGCAGACTAGGCTAGCTTAGCCTAGCCTGGAGTTCCCAGCGCTACCACCCCTGTGTTGCCACAGCCGCCTCCTTGGCATGCAGAGGAGGGGGATCTTGGCACGAGGCTAGGGATCTGGCTTTTATGAACAAGGTGTGAGAGGACCTTGGGGTCTATCTTAATCTCCTTCAGCTTCTAGGTCCCCTGGATCACAGTCCTTGAGGCTGAGTTAAGACAACAAAAGGAAAGGAGGTTTGCCCGAGATGGGTAGGGGTCTGTCACAAGCTTGAGTCTTGGAGTTTGCGCACCAGATGGAAGAAACTAGCTCCCTTTCTGCTTCCCTGATGCCCTCCCGCCCAGCGCCTGCTCCATGGTCTTCTATGCCCTCTTACAGGCTGCTACTCAGCAACAGGAGTTTCTCAATGAAGGAAGAAGAGCTCATAGCTTAAAGAGGGTCTGTGCAGTGTCCCAGCCAGGCCTTTCCCCCAATTGGCCAGTGTGGCTCTGCTCTCTAATTTTAACTGCACCTGGGGTTCGACCACCCATCCTTAACACCCCACCCTCAGGGAAGGGAGCCCTCTGCCTACCTCCTCTCTTCGGGGCCAGGAACTTGGTGCCTGCCCTGCAAGCCACAGTCGCTGCTCTGTGATCATCTAGCAGGCTTTTGCGGTTCCATGACTGGATTTGTCTTGTCAGTCACGGAGACAAAAAGGCGCAGACATGGACAGGCTGGGCTGGGAATCTGAAGGGGTAATCAGAGATACCTTAATAAAGGCCCTTTTGATTCCAGTCTGAGATCTCTAAGAAACATACCAAGAGAAACACAAGCTACGTTGGCTCCAGGGGGGAAAGGGAGGCAGGCGGTGCCAGTACTGCTTCCCAGGAATCTTTTCTGACGTAGGCGCAGCTGCAGATTCCTAGCTGGGCTCTAGGGCCACTGAGGGCCAAGCTGACCTGTGAAGGGCTGCAGCCCAGCTCTTGGCGGCAAACCCATCTAGAGTGTTGGTAGAGTGTTGAGGGTTGTTGAAAGAGGCTGGGGTCTTTAAGAATCCCTAAAGCCTTTAAGGTCCCCCACAAGCTCCAGATAACCTGTTGCCGAATGCCTACCTTTCAATGCCCCTCTTCAACCCCTTGCCTCTGTTGAAGTGTTTTAATTCTCTTCCTTCCTCTCTGCCTCTCGACTCTCGGTGACAATAGTATCTGATGTTCCCCTTTGCTCAGTGGGTACACTCCCACAACTGACTCCAGCCAGCTCCTGGCTTCCCAGCTCAGCTTCCAGATTCTAGGCTGTGCCTCATTGAACTCCAGAGCCCATTAGCCTCTTGATCTTGGGGGTGATTTTTTTAAATTTAATTTATTTTTTTTATTATTAGTTACATTTTATTAACTCTGTATCTCAGCTGTATCCTGCTCCCTTATTCCCTCCCAATCCCACCCTCCCTCCCTCATCTCCTCCCTGCCTCTTTCCAAGTCCACTGATTGGGGAGGACCTCCTCCCCTTTCATCTGACGCTGTTTTATCAGGTATCTTCAGGACTAGCTGCAAAGTCTTCTTCCTCTGTGGCCTAGCAGGACTGCTCTTCACTTGGGGGGTGGGGAGGTCAAAGAGCCTGCCATTGGGTTCCTGACAGAAATAGTTTGGGGGTGATTTTTAATAGCTGCAGTGTTCTGAGAGTGCCCATGGAGAAGGGAGCACTTAAAATATTAGCATACATGCCTGGAGCTCCACAGGGCCCACAGGCTCCAAGCCTTATGGCTGCCAGGCCCCAGGACTCTGACCCCCGGCCAGAAACCACACAGTGAGGCCTTCTCTCCCAGGTTTGCCAAGTGACCTCTGCCTTTTTCCAGACTCTTCTCAGTGTCAGAGAGGGGATATTTATTCTGAAAGACCCTGACCTAAGGACGTGTCCTTCAGCCCTAGACTCCTGTAGAGAAACCAACACAGTAGAAACCTAGTCCCCCTCTGTGGGTGATGCTGTCAGGCTCCATTCTTGTACCTCCCAGAGTAATTGCCTTGAGTGGAAATCTTCATGGGCTCTGCTCTTTCTTTCAGTGCTCTCTAAAACAAAACAAAACAGCAAGCAAGCTTTAATGCCAGCACTTGGGAGGCAGAGGTGGATTCTGAGTTCCAGGCCAGCCTGGTCTACAGAGTGAATTCTAGGACAGGCAGGGCTACACAGAGAAGCCCTGTCTTGAAAAAGCAACAACAACAACAACGAGACCCCCAACAATTACAACCACAACAAAACCAAATCCAAACAAAAAAAGCAGCCAGTGGTGGGTATTGTAGTTCCAAGATCCACAACTCTGATTCAGAAATGTTCCAAGAGCCGGGCAGTGGTAGCCAACACCTTTAATTCCAGCACTCAGGAGGCAGAGGCAGGAGGATCTCTGTGAGTTTGAGTGAGACAATCTGGTTCCAGCAGAGTCTGGTGCAATGATAGCTATGCTCACTCAGTAGCCAGAAGAGACTGGAGACACTGCTCACGCAGCGCCCCTTTGAGTGAAAGCCACCCATCCCCTCCAGTTAACATCATCTTCCACCATTTCCCTTACCCGTTCAGTCCAGCTCAATTTTTGTCCCAATAGGCTGCTCATCTACTTAGGGTTCTGAATTACCAAGGAAACTGGCGTAGGTCACTCATTGCTTGCCAGTTTTCACCCCAAGTGAGGAGGCCTCAGAAACAGGAGCAACCATGCAGTGTACCTCTCAAGGGATATGTTGGGTGTGTAGCATCATCCGTGTGATGAGAAGTAGTTCATAATAACCTCCTCCATGGCAGACACCCTCATCTCTCCAACACTCCATGTTTCTCTCCAGGAAAGACAAGTTGTTTCCCTCACTCAGTCTCTATGTTCTTCCTTTCCTTTCTTTTCTTTTCTTTTCTTTTCTTTTCTTTTCTTTTCTTTTCTTTTCTTTTCTTTTCTTTCCTTTCCTTTCCTTTTCTTTTCTTCTTTCTTTCTTTCCCTCTTTCTTTTCTTTCTTTCTTTCTTCCTTTCTTTTTTTCTCCCTCCCTCTCTCTTTCTTTTTTTTTTTTCTCTTTTGAAATACAGGGTCTCACTGTGTAGTCCTGGCTGGCCTGGAACTCATATGTAGACCAGGCTGTACTCCAACTCACAGAGATCCATCTGCCTCTGCCTCCCAGGTGCTGGGATTAAAGGTGTCTGTCACCCTGCCCAGCTGTCTCTGTTTTCTGAGCAGGTGAGATGTCAGAGAATGTCCTTGCTGCCTGGAGGTCCCTAGGATTAACCTGTGAGTTTCAGGGATGAAGGAAAGAACTGGAGAGAAATTGCTACCTGAGAAGGAGTTCACAAAAGTGTCCCTTTGAGCCTCCTCAGACAGACAACACATTGAATCTCTGAAAATCACGGTGTCAAGGCACAAGTGCTGGGGCTACTTAGCAGGGAGCTGAGCGAAGACAGCCGTCTTCTCAACATTTGATGGATCACCCTCAGACACTTGGCTGTTGGCTGCAAAGAAGCTCAGAAAATGTTCTTTCTGGCTTCTCCCTAAAAATCCAAGTCTCCTAAACGTGCCCATGAGACATGGTGACTGTTATTTTCATCTTTTAGTGTGGGGATGTATAGTGTGAGTATACACGTGCCATGGCAGGAAAATGGACATCAGAGAACAGCTACTGGAAGCCGGTTGTCTCTTTCCAACGTGTGAGTGCCCGGTCTTGAACTCAGGTCATCAGGCTCGGCAGCAAGTACCCTTACCTGCTGAGCCATCTGGCCTTCCCCAGCATAGTGTTCTGTTTTCCCAGAGCTACCAGGCAGTACCAAGCATGCAGTGCAGTGCTTTACCCTCGCTTCTCATCTCTTAACAGCATCTGCCTTCTGTCGTGCCCTGGAACACATGTAGCCACCGTGAAGGCAGAGGCAGGAGTCCCCGGTGCCCCTTTGTGCTGAAAGAAGGGGATAGTGGGAGTGGGCTTCAGTTTGTAGCAAGAAAGCTGAGGCCTGGGGTAGAAGAACAAGGCAGCAGGGGAAAGGCTGAGGGCCTCAGTTCGACTCTGAGAATGACTTAAAGACGAGCAACCTAGGGCTGGAGAGATGGCTCAGAGGTTAAGAGCACTGGCTGTTCTTCCCAAAGATCCTGAGTTCAAGTTCCAGCAACCACATGTGTGCCTCAAAAATAACCATCCCTAATAAGATCTGGTGCCTTCTTCTGGCCTGAAGGCACACATGCAGGCAGAACACTAAACAAAACAAACAAACAAACAAACAAACACATTGTTTAGAAAAAGGTGAGCAGCTTACACTCACAACTTAGGGCCCCACTGTCTTTGTTGGAATTCGCCTCTTTTCCATTGAGTCCCTCTGGTCGTTCAGGAGCTCCCCTTTCTCCCCTCCCCCCAGCACATGGTCATGGACCTCTGTCTTCCCTGCAGGTTTTCTTGGGCAAGCAAGGCATAGCAGACAGGCAGCTCTGAAGGGGAATCCCATAGCCCTGGTGAGCTGTGTGGCCTCCGACAAGTTTACATTGCTGAGTCTCTGTTTCCTCACTGTGAAAATGGATGTGTTAACAATACTTTCTCATTAAAGCTCTGAAAATTAAGTTAGATGATATGTGAGATCCCCCAGCACAGAGCTTGGCTCTTGGTTGACATTAAGTAATGACTGCCATTAGTACTGTTGGACCCAAAGCTGGCCCCCTTTAGTGAGAGAATGAAAGGCACAGAGCTTTGCCCAACATCCTCTCTTGTTTTGGCTTTTGGAAATAAAGGCTCTTTCTCAAAATTCCCCAAAAGGGATGGGCACAATCCCTTGTAGTCTTTCCTCTCGCCAAACTTTTCCCTTTCACCATCTTCCTCTTTCTTTCTCACAAATGAT